CAAAATTATCTCTAATTTCTATTTATCTTTTAAATTATCTCTAATTCCTATTTATCTCCAAAATTATCTCTAATTTAGTAGAGAGTTTCTCTCCTAAATTATCTCTAATTCCTATTTATCCTCTCCCCTACTTTTTTTATCTATATCTATCTAAAGAAAGTATGGATTGAAAAATTTAATAATTATTTAAATATTCTAACAAAATTATATAATAACTTGGAAATATTAATTAAAAACACAAAAAAATAATTTTATATTTTTACAAAATATATCACGAAACTATGTACTAACAATTTAAATTATGTTTTTCTGGATTACCAATTTAAATGTTTTTCAAATATTTAATCATATGTAATAGCTTTAAATAAATAAAATTCAAATAACAAAAATTTTTAAATATTTTATAGATTACTTAAATATTTAAATAACTAAATATTTATCATAACTAGATTTTAAATAGTTAAAATAATGAAATTATGTAATAAATTTAAGAAATTTCTTCAAAATAGAAAAGTAATTATAACATAATATTGAAATTAAGAATAAATCTATTTTTGTTTTGTTTTTAATAGAAAATTTTCATTAATTATTGGAGTTTAAACTACTATTATTTAGCTTTTTAAATTTAATTATTGTGTATTTTTGCTATAAAGTTTTAATAATTATTGGAGATTAAACTTATTGTTCATGGGCTATTTCGATTCAGTTGTAGATTGTTTGGCCAACCAAATCGACCTGGTTAGATTGGGGGGTTAGTCACTCAAGTTATATCGGTTTGGATCAATTTTTGGTTTGGTCGATCGGTTCAACAGATTTAAACTTAAAAATTTAATTTTAAAAATTAAAGTTTAAATTTTAAAAAAGTTACAATGGCGTTATTAAAAAATAAATTTTAAATTAAATTTATGATATAAACTATTTTAGCCTAAGAAATATTGGTACTTACCCACTTTCCTATATTAAAAAATATATTTAAAATATATATATGGTTGGGTCATTCAATTTTAGTCAGTTTATAAATAGCCAAAGTGAAACTGATCCAACTTAGTTGGGTTGGGAAATTGTTGAACCAAAGCTTACAAGAAATACTAGAAATCAGGTTGGTCAGTTTCATTAGTTTGATTCGGAATGGCAATGGGGTGGGGCGGGGACAAGGAGCCTCTCCCCATCCATGTGCTCGTCCCCATCCCTGCTACTGGGGGCAAAGTTATCCCCATCCTAGTCCCCACGGTGATCCCCACTCCCCGTGATTCTTTATAATGCCAACCGTTATGTTTTTGTTTTTTATTTTATTAAAAAAATAGAAATAAAATAATTAAAATTTACAATCCTATTAGAAAAGTTTCAAACATATTCAACCATATTTTTAAAAATATGAACATATAGACATATATAAACATATGTGTATATATTAGTGGGGATCCCATAGGGTAGGGATCAAGGTCCACGTGGGGGAGAGACTGCTCTCCCTGTCTTTGCATTGTCCCCACCAATGGGGATGAAAATTTCCCCATCTCTATCTCTGCGAGGGGAAAATCATTCTCATCCTCTCCCCATTCAGGGCAGATTCCCACGGGGATTGGAGAAATGGGAAAAATTTCCATCCATAAGTTTGATAAAAAACCCTATCTAAAATTAATTATTGTTATTCTTGTATTATAAAAAATATTAAAAGTAGTATATAAAAAATAAATGATTATTAATTATTATATAAAACAATTGTATACTCTTACATGTTTCTATTGTTCATCTTTAACTTAACAAATTTCGTGCATCCCATGGGTCCCCGCTAGTAGATATATTAAAAGAAGGAAGTTTAGGAATTTTCACATTTTTTTGAATTTTTTTATTTTTTAATTTCATGTCATTTTTTAAACAACCAATGAGATTACCTAATCTTTCTCTCTCTCTCTCTCTCTCTCTCTCTCTCTCTCTCTCACACACACACACGTTCCCAATAACCTAAATAATTTCCTCTCCTAAAATTTCTCGTAAACTAGGGCTGTTCATAACAAGACCCAAACCGACCAAACCAGTCCGATCCAACCCGAGTTGGTCGGTTTTTCTTTAGTATCGATCGGTTTCAGGTTACAAAAAAACAAACCGATAATTCGGTTCGGTTTCGGTTTTCATGTATGAAAACCGAAACCGAACCGACTTAGATATATATTATATATATATATAATATATTTCAGATATTATATATATATATATCTGATATATTTCAGTTTTACTATATATATTTTAGTTTTAATATATATTTCAGATATATATTTGTGGAAACATATATATTTCAGCTTTATTTCAGAAATATACATATTATATATAAAATTTCTGATATATAAAATATTAGTTTTAATCCATCAAATTATTTTTAATTTTCAGGCATTCAGCCTTTGCTTTGTTAGACTTGAATCCTTTACCGTTCACACTGAGAGAATCATTCACAAAACCGACCCAAACTGATTCAAACCGACCAAGTCGGTTTTACTTAGTACTGGGTCGGTTTCGGTTTCATTTCTAGGTAAACTGACCAGGTCGGGTCGGTTGGAAAAATGCCAATAAACCGATCCAACCCGATCCGTGAACAACCCTATCGTAAACTACCTCCCTCTATCCCCCACTTTCTCCTAAATTATCTCTAACTTTTATTTATCTTCTAAATTATCTCCAACTCATATTTATCTCCTAATTTAGTAGAGAGTTTTTGTCCTAACTTATCTTTGATTCCTATTTATCCTCTCCCCCACTTTTTATTTATACCTATCTAAAGAAAGTTTGAATTAAAAATAATTCTGATTGATTTTATAATATTCATATTATTAATAATTTTATAGTTTTACAAAATTCTTGATGAAATTATGTACTAACAATATAAATTATGATCTTATGGATTATTCAATTTAAATGTTATTCGAATAATAAAAATTTAACATTAAAAAAATAAAATATTATTTAAATATTTTAATAACTAAATATATTAAATAACAAAGTATTAAATATTTTACATATTACTTAAATATTTAAGTAACTAAATATTTTAAATAGAAAAATATTTAACATAACTAGAAAAATATATATTTTAGATTTTCAATAATTAAAATAACGAAATTATGTAATAAATTAAAAAAAAATTCTTAAAACTAGAAAAATAATTATAACATAATATAAATTAATAATGATTTAATATTTTACAAAATGAATAATTAAATTATGTAATAATAGTAAAATAATAATTTTATAGATTATTAAATTTAATAAATAATTAATATTTTAAAATTTAAATAATGATATTATTTAAATAACTAAATAATATTATAAATAACTAATTTCACATATATCAATTGATAACTCGAGAGAATAACTTTCAAAAAATTAATATTTATTAATAATAATTTTAAACTCTTAATCTATATTTATTATATAATTTTATATCTTAAAATTAATATTTATTGTATTTTAGTAATGATTTATTGTTTATTGTGATAAATATATTTTCAATAATTATGTATAAATTTATTTTTGTTTTTTTATTTTACAAAACAAAAATAAATTTATTGTACTTTTTGTATTTATTGTATTTTTGTTATAGGTTATTGACTAATATTTTTTAGAGATTAAACTATTAATTTAGCTAAAATTAGGAGTGTTCACGTGTTGATTCGGTTTGGTCGAAGCTGTTTGGCCAACCAAATTGATCTGGTTAGGTTGGGGATTTGGTCACCCAAAACCAACTAACCATTTGTGAAAACTGGCGCACTCGGGTTGTATCAGTTTGGGTCGATTTTTTGTTTCGTAATTTAGTTAATCGGTTCAAAATATTTGAACTTAAAAATTAAATTTAAATTAAAAAATTAAAAAATTATATTAAAGAAATGTGAGGATTTTCCCACTTTTCCATATTAAAAAATTATATTTAAAATATAAAATATATATATATATATATATATATATATATTTATGGTTATGTCTTTTGATTTTAGTTGGTTTAGAAACGGCCTAAGCGAAACTGGTCCAACCTTGGGAATTATTGAATCAAAGCCAATTGATAATAGTAGAAATTGACCATCTTGGGTCAAGTTTGTTGGGCAGCCCTAGTATATAAAATATAAATAATTATTAATTATTTAAAAAATAAAAATATAAAACAATTATATACTCTTATGTGTTTCTATTATTTAACTTTCAGTTAACAAATTATTCCCTATTTTGGGCTAAGGAGTGATTCCTAAACATTTCATTCTACTTATGCCACATCTAAGGATGACGTGGTGTTAATTTGAGCCATACATCATTTAGGGGATTCTTGGCCATGCGTTTAATCTTTGCCTCATGTTAATGTACCTGTCTACCACACTAAACGCTTCTTGTGATATATTTATTAAATTTTCGACTACGCATTGAGCAACAACCATCAGAGTGGCGCAGCGGAAGCGTGGTGGGCCCATAACCCACAGGTCCCAGGATCGAAACCTGGCTCTGATAATTGTTCCAACTTGTTTTCCAATTTTTTGGTTTGATTCCGCGCCTTCTCTAATTCAGTCGGGAATGTAAATGGCCCGGCCGCCCGGTTGGATCTCTCACCCGCTCCAAAGGCTCAACCGCTCAACAAACTTACAAACTTATACACGTCTCACGTGGCCACGTGTACAGTTGAAAAAAGAGATGGGTTTTTCAACATTTCCAATTTCTTATGTTGTGCCAATAATGAAATAACACGTCATCTAGGAACACATCCGTCCCACATTTAGGTTGACATGTTGCCGTCCGATTCGCATATAGAGTTCGATCTTGATACATAAGGAAAGTTGTAGCTTCCGTTTAAGTCCAACGGAAAAGTACCTTACAAAAACCCCCGGGATCCCAATCTTATCTATCCAGCGTGGCTTTCTTTATTTATTTATAACTTTTTTTGGCATGTTTGCCGTGGGCGAAGGGCATTTGCGTCATTTAAAAAATACTAGTTGAATAAATACACCTGACAATACCTGTCGTCTCCTCTCTTTTGCAGCAGCGGAGGCCAGCGGGAGTAAAGTAGGAGAGAAAAAGGTTTCCTTCTTCTCTTCTCTCTCTCTTTCTCTGCTGCTTTAAGGGATTTCAGAGGAATCGAAACTAGCGTTTCGATCCTCTGATCTCAGTGCTTGGTTGGGTTAGAAATCCGGGAATTTGTTCCTGGAGATCTAGATTTAAATTAAAGAAATTGTTCTGGTTTCTATGCCGAGGTTGTGATTACTGATTAGGACACGAAGGAAAAGAGGATTCAGATCTATCTCTTCGCAGAAGTTTCTGTGGTTTTATCTGGTGTCTTCCGTTTTCATTTTCTGAATAATTGGTTGTCGCATATTAAAGGACATCGACATATTCAGGTAACCATATATATATTTTTTATTTTTATGGGTTAGGTACGTTGATTATGCGGGAAGGAGATGGTTTGTTTTCTGTTTTTTTTTTTTTTTTTTTAGGGCCGTCGTTTTTTTTTTTTTTAATGTCTAAAGTGCCAGAGATTTGAAGTCTAGCGAAAGTGTCAAAAAAGTACAACAATTTTTAAATAGTTTAGTTTAATTTTTTTTTTCTTCAAATCAGGTGGGTTTTCATCAAAATTCACCCTGGGGGGAGGGTGATTGGTCAAAGCCTCTCTGTTATCATGTCTTTCCGACATCATCGATTTTTCCCAATAATAATTCTGTAGTATATTAGTTTCCTAGGGATGTCTCAAGGGTATCTTAGATTTTCCACTTTGCTACATGCTTTCAAGAACTTGCAAAATTTGTATGAAACCGGTGTCAATTAAAATCCAACTTCTGCAGTTTGGAGCCAAAGGAACATTTTTATGCTAGAAAAATAATAAAACAAACATTTTGTTTCGAGGGTGGTAACTCTCAATCTTCATATTGAATTCAATGAATTGCATAGAAATTCTGAATTGAAACAGTTGGTAGAAATACATTTTTTTTAATTATAAATAGGAGTTACCCTTATCTTCTGGTTTAATTCCTTTTTCCTATAGATCGCCTGGAAGTTTTGTTTAGTCATCTTTAGCTTCCACCTGTTACATACTTACATTCTAGCGGGGAATACATTTATATAATAGTTTTCTTGACTCTTCGGTTTTACTTTCTCTGATCTGTAGAAAAATAGAATAATTGTTGCTGTTGATTTCCCTCTCGAAATCCATCTAGAAACCATACAAATGAAGAAATTTTTGTTTGTTTATTTGTTGTATTGTGACTTTCCATTTGGTTACTGATTGAATTATTTCATTCTATGCAGAAGACTGCATCAGGAGGCAGCATCGCAGTCTTGAATATTCTAGATTACTTCTGCATATGGCTTCAAGAAGTTTGATGGAGAATTCACAAGGTTTATGTTACTTGGATTGGGTTCATTATGCTGTAATCTTGCTGAAAGTGTTGATATAAATCATGATTTCCTTGTTACAATCTATTGTTCTGATAGTTATCTGTTCTGTCTAATCTTATTCAGTGAGCTCAAAGTTGCATGAGGAGAAATTGATGAAAGAGATATCTGAATTGAGGGAACTAAGGACAGCTATAATGGTGGAAAAATGCTTGAGCAAGAATGAAGTGATTACCTGCCCCAAACCAATGAGACGACAAATGTGGTTTGCCTCTTCTACCCTATTAGTTTGTTTTGATAACCTATCCTTACCCTATTAAATTACTGCTTTTGCCTATTTAATGGTGACATTTGTTAATAACATGGAATTTATATTCTAGTTGCTCTAGTGATTTAGTTGTTAAAGAAAATTTTAGTGGCTTAAGTAGGGTTATCAAGGAATGGAGCTTTTCCTAGTTCATCTCTGAAATTGTGCATGGGGATGAGGCTCAGCTTTGTGATGAGATTGAGGTTCCATGATAAATAGCAACTTATTTAGATTTGATTGGTTTGACATGCACTGGTTATGATATTTAAAAAAAATAATATTTCATAGAGAGTAAGAATTTTGTACAAATGGTACAATCATTCATGCTCCAAATAATTATAGAAAAATGATAAAAAGTAAAAAAAACATTTTTTTTGCTGAAAAATCTGCATAAGGATTCATCTGTATGATAACGGTTTAAACACACACTCATTGGAGAGCTTCAGAAGATTTCTTGGAGCTGGATTTGGCAAGTAAGTTTCCTTCTAGGATTATTTTCTTTGTTTGGGGGATATCAGATTCAGACTGGATTTTCTGTTGAAAAACGGATGAATATTAATAACTTGTGCTGCCTATGCGATGAGTAAGCTGATTGGCAGGTCATCTGCTTATTGATTTCCTTTTCACTTAAATGATTTGGGGCCATTTATGTAAGCTCTTTCATAGATAGTGGGTGGTACATCAGACTGTGGCTGACCTGTTATCCTCTTGGAGAGTGGGTGGGCTTTCTTTTGAAGAGGAATAGTAGGGTATTTCAGGGTGGAAGTCTTTCACTGGAGGAACTGTTAACAAAATTGAATGGGCACTAATTTCGTGGGCTAGAGTCTTGTACCGGTTTTGATTTATGGAGTTAAGTTGAATCTTTTATGTAGTGAAAAAAATTGAATCTTTTAAAGATATTACTATTTTTGATAGTTTTTGTTTTCAATGTACAGGCTATAGTATAACTTTTTTTTGTAAATATTTTTGAGGGTGTCTCACACTCATAGTAATAATACTTTTTTTCACTTATCAAAAGGAAAAAAGAAAAAAATCATAGCTGAGAAATCATTATATAATCCAGATTATTCTGAAGTATTTGTACCAGATGTGGTTCATATGGTTAACTGTAAGATCTTTAAACCAACAAATAAAAAGAAAAACTTGTGCACATCATATCTTCTTAGATCTCTTCCTCTTGGTGCCAAAACTTCCTTTAAGTTTTGATGCATGTTGTGTCCTAAACATGGATAGAATTAAAGAAGATCAAGCTCCTCATTTCCTCCTCCACAGCCAATGTTATTGGATGAAATCAGGAGGAAACATTCATTTGATTTGGGTACTGAAAGAGATGAAGGATTTGATGGTTGTGGAAACGGTGCCTCATGATGTGAAAATGGAAATCCAAGTTTTGAAGGAGATCCTTGTGGCAATAGTTCAATTTTCTAGAATTTATGGAAAACCTTGGATATTGATATATAAAGGGTCCTAGGCATGGAATGTGGGAAAGAACTGTCATTTGTAGTTTCCTTTTTTCTATTTTCTTTGTGGAAGACCTTGGATATTGATATCTCAGCTCTAGCTTTCCTACTATGTTGAAACACATTTGAAATTTCAAAATGGAAATAAATGCAATATAATAATGATATTTCTTAACTCTGCTCTGCCTACCATATTTAACTTCTCAAGTCCAATATATTTATTATGATGCCATTTTGTCAAGTAATTTCATTTGGATAAGATGTTAAACTACTCAAAAGCCAAATCAGCTAGTAGAACTCCGATTGGAGAAGGTGAAATTGGGTCCATTATTTGGGGGTACATGGCATCTTTGTATATATTGATTCTTTTTTCTAATCTGAGAAAAATTTATTTTACTCATAAAAAAGTTTCCACATGGTAATATAAGGGTCTTGAGCATTAGACTTTTCACCCTATATTAATGGGAAAAGCTCAAACCATGGGCATGAAAATAAGAAAATTTGGAAAACTTAGGCTGTTGATCTTTCTTAGAGAAATTTGTAATTTAAGGATGGCCATAGGGCTAAGGTATCCTAGGGGGATCTTCAATTGAAACATTAGCCAATCTAAAGTTTCTCCAATTTAGAGGGTTCAAATCATCCATTTTTCCGAAGGGATGCAAGCCGTGTAGGGAAGAACCATTGTTGACCCAATTGAGATGCTTATTTCTATTTATGATATCTAACTAATTGAATGAGCTTGGCAAGTCCAAGTAAATTCATGAATGAGCCAAGATAGAGAGGTCATTAATTGTCCCCTGCTAATCACTTTTAAGATTGTTGTGTTTATATAAAAGTGGTTAATTGTTGGTTAATTTAGAAATATGATATGCACTTTTATATGATTATGGGCAAAATGGTAGGGTGCATGTATAGTCTTGTGTGATATTGATAGGCGAATACCACTTAAGATTAAAACGGAAATTCTATAAAATAGTAGTAAGGCTAGCAATGCTGTATGGAGGAGAGAATCCCAAGGAAATCAGTTTTTGGAACCCAATTTTGGAAAAGTGCACTACGAGATTGGTTGTGTGGAGGAGTTACATCTTGTTGGGTGGTATAAAGTCCACACTTGTTAATTTGCCAATTTGTTATCTCTTAGTGTTTAGAATTCCAGAAAGGGAGGCAAAGAAGTTTGAGAAAGTGACAAAGGGATTTCTTATGGGAACTGAGAGGGGGGTACTTTAATATGTGCTCAAGGGACCTTGTTTACTTTTGGGAAGATGTTTGGGTTGGTAACCTTTCTCTTTAGGAGTAGTTCCCTGCCTTGTTCTCCATACCCTTATACAAAAAAGTGTTGGGCTCCAATTGGGACTTCGGTTTTTGCCGAGGGTTAAGGGATGAAGAGCTCATGTCAATAGATAGTCCGTTGCTTCTCCTTCCTAAAGTTTGCTTGGATCTTGACAAACAAGATAGACGAATTTGGGTCCCCCATGCTAATGGTCTTTTCTTTTGTGCCTCCTTTAAGTCCCTTTGTCAATCTCCCATTTCAGAGGTGTTTAATATGGTGTAGGCCTATTCCTCGTAAAATCAGCACTTTTTGTTGGGAAATTTATTATAGGAAGATTAACACTATGAATAAGTTACAAAAGAGAAAGACCTTTGTGCATCTCCCCAAACTAGTACCTTCTATGCAAATCTAATAGTGAGAAGCGTTGCCATTACTAATCTCTTGTCCTTTTGTTGTAGACATTTGGAATTGGTATTTCTCTTTGCTTTGATGTTAGGGGAATTTGTTTATGGAGTTTAATGCTTTTCAACTCTTATGATTTTGTTTGGCCTAAAAAGAGGAAGGACTAGTGTTTTAAAAGCGCAAGGCGTAGAGGTCAATTTGTGCTTGAGGCGCAAGGCGAGGCACGCGCCTTTTTGATGCAAGGCACAAAAATACAAAAAAAATGCTAAAAATAAAAAAAAGCCAAAAAATAAAAAAAATAAAAAATAAAAAAATAATAAAAAAATATTAAACATGATATTAATAAAAAATATAAACTTAAATTTTAAAATAAATGTTTTAAAAAACCTATTATCTAAAATTAAAATACATAAACATAAGATGTAAAGCATATCCAAATGAGAATTTAAAAATAAAATCAAACATATAAAACATTTTCAAGCATGTAAAACCTCTAATCTCCTTTTTCACTCAATTGCATTACTTCAAGTAGCTAATGTAATGTAAAACATATTACATTCCTGATTTTACCCCCAATTTGGTAATGTTGTTCATTCATTCATTCTAATAAAATATCTTGTTAAAAAGCAGTTAAACATATAAAATCATCATTTTTTGTGTGAGAACTAAATTGAAGACCTAATGTGGACTTGTTTGGGCTTGCCTCGAGGGGTGTGGCACGGGGGTCAGTTTGGGAGGTGTATGAAGGCAACATCAATTTGGACAGTTTGGGAGGTAAGGAATGCTAGAGTTTTTCAAGAGGAAAGTGCACGATGATTAGAATAGTTCACTAGATAAGAATTGGGATTTTGGGTTTCGAAGGGAATTGAGGGATGATGAAGTCACTTGTTTCTCAGAGCTTTTACTTCTTCTTGATAGAGTCTACTTATAACCTTCTAAACTGGATGGAAGAGTTTTGTGCCCAAGTTCTAAGGTTTCTTTTCCTTTACCTCTTTTTTTTTATTCTCTTTACTAGCCCCCTATCCCTCAATCCTTTCCTTTTGAGGAAGTCTGGTGTCAGCTAATTCCCCCTAAAATTGAGGCTTTTTTGTTGAGAAGTGGTTTATGGGAAAATTAACACTTCGGGTTACTTGCAAAACAAGAGGTCTTTTTTGTGTATTTCCCCGAATTGGTGCACTCTTTGTAAATCCGATGGTGAATCTTGTTACCACTTACTAATTTCCCGTTCCTTTGTTGCAAATATTTGGGATTGGTTTTTCTCTTTGTTTGGGTGAAGGAGGAATGTGCCAATGGAGATTAAGATATTGTTTGATCCATCTACTTTTTCTTGGCCAAAGAGAGGGGGAAGAATAATGTGGAGGTGCACTAGAGCTGGAGCAGCACTAATTTGGACTTTATCGGAATAAAGAAATGCTAGGATCTTCCAAGAGGAGAGAAGCAAACAACAAATTATGGACTGTGTAATGGCTAGGGTAATACATTGACTACTAACTTTGGATTTGTTTAAACAGTTCTCCTTAGATGATATTTGGAGGAACTAATTTTCAGTGGCTTCTAGTTCAGTGAAGAAGGCTAAAACAAGGAGGTTGGTTTGGACACTTCCCAATGAAGGTTTTCTGAAATTAAATTTTGATGGGAGTAGTCAATGCAACCCAAGTCCTTCTGGAATTGGAGGAGCAATAAGAGATAAGGAAGGGAATATGGTAGCACTTTATTTAGGACTAGTGGGGAGTGGAGACTTTTTAAAGGCTGAACTGTACACAGTCCTGTAAGGTGTTCAGATTGCAAAAGAGATGAGCTTGGAGAACTTGGCGATGGAAGGGGACTCCAAGGTGGTCATGGACTGGATAAAAGATCTGGGTTCAGTGATATGGTGTTATAGAGATGAAATAAAGAAAGCTCAAATGGTAACACAACAGATGCATTTGGTTATACAATGGGTGGTGGGGGGGGGGAGGGTAATGCATTGGCTGATTCTTTAGCTAAGCAAGGGGTAATTAGGGATCGGTTGTATTGGGCTCAATTGTAAATCTTGTGCTGTTTTTTTCTTTAAGAGTGAGGCTGCACCTCACGCTTCCCTATAGGAAGCTTGTAATAGTTGCTTATCCTTATCGATTTCAATGAAATTTTAATGACCTTTTACTTATCAAAAAAAATCACTAGATAAGAGCAGCCTAGGAAATCCAGGTCCATCTGGAGCAAGGTTCAAAGTATCAATACGATATGTATCGGGCGTATCATATCATATCTTTGGGTTTCCGATACACCTATTTAAAGGTGTTTTCAGGAAATCAATATTTTTATTGATTAAATAATATAAAAACATGTGTAAGAATGGAGTTTGAAAAAAAACTAAAAAATAAAAAGCATGGGGTAAAAAAGTATTGATACACCCCTGCTGATAAATTTGGGTGTAGCCATACTTTAAACCATGATCTGGAGTAGGAGGGGTTTTGAGGGATAGAGGAAGAAATGCCAATGCTTTATTATCAGGAGCAGTGGAGTAGGGGATTCTGTTAGAGCCGAAATGCTTGCTGTTTTGCAGAGAGTTCAAGTTGCTAAGGAGCTCAACTTAGAAAACTTGTTGATTGAGGGAGATTCTAAGATGGTAATGGGGTGGCTGAAGAATAGTCTGTTATGTGGTGCTACAGAAATGAATTCAAGAAATTCAAATYGTTAACAAGGAATATGAATTTGATGGCACATTGGGTGAGGAGGTCAGCAAATGCAATGGCCAATTGTCTAGATAAACAAGGGGTGAACAGGGATT